CACCACTTTCCTACGCCACCACTTTGCAACAGCATTTTTGCGCTGTTATTTTAAATGTCTTGAACTTATCCTTTGCCAAAATTATGTTTACCGACTTACAGTAAATCTTATAAGCCTGGTGTTTAAGCAAAAAATAATAAGTATATCGGCGTTGGGGATGAGAAAGCACGTATTTTCGCTCATAAGTTATCATTTTTCGGACAAAAGACTTTAAGTCCCTTTTTCAGTTTTGAGTGCCTTGCAATTGCTTAAGCCAGTCAACGGTCAAAATTAATGAGGGGCCTTACTTGCAAACCCGTAGACTTTGGTAGGTCGTATTAAACTAAAATTAAATGAAATAACAGATTCACTTATTTTACATTAGATGGCTATTACTGACAAAGCCAGCTATATTCAGGCGCCTTGAAGGCGATCCACAAAAGCAGAAAAGCTTTTCTTCCTTCAAACGTGAATTTTACACATTTCTACACATTTTACACATTTCGCTAAAGCGAACTGATGGCTTTTCACTAATAAAAAAGAAACAAGCTGGTTTATGCCATGAAACAGATAAATCGCCCATGGAAACATGTTATAATTTTTCACTTGCCAATACAATCACCATGCCTTCAGAAAACGGTCTTATTGAGAAGTCCACTTTGTGCCGGTAAAATGGTTTCTTTTAGGTGCGGAATACTGTCGTTGTCCATTACTGGCCCATATTGTGCTCCCAAATCTCTACTTTGTATGCAATCGTATAATTGTCAAATATCAGACAAAGAAGATGACCGTTTGTGCGAAAATGTTTAAGACCACAGAGAATGCGAACGTGGCATAGTCCGTCTCAGATTATAAAGTGTTGTTGAACATTTTCCCCTGGGTAACTTTAGTAAAGCTATAAGAAAAAATGGCATTTTGTCCTACTGCTTCTCAAATGGTACCTTTTTTCTTTTATGCGTTTGTGTTTATCCAGAATGCGTGTGGTAGACCAAAAGTTCTAGGTTCTGCAATTCAGTACGGAAGTCTTTTTAAAAATGTGTACCCTTAATGTAATACACACAGAACAAGTTTGAAGATGAACAATTAAATGGTCAAAACTTTAACTCACTAAAATATGTCCTGTGATAAGAATCAAAAGTCACTTCTTATCATGAGCTAATTGTTCATCAAACAATCCAAACAGACTGGGAGACTTTAACACACACCGCCACCTGCAATTGTCCACGGTACTCATTTCCATGGCCCCCACCACTTTCCCTTCCCTCTTGACATAGGTGTAAACCATGTGTTTTTTCCTTACTAGCGTTAAGCATGGCTTCCAACAACGGTATTACTATGATGGCTGTGAAAGGTCGTATTCGATGTGAGATATCGTTATTTGGAATAAAAGTTTGAGACTCTTCCTAGACGCGGTGCATTAGCATCTGGTGATTAATCGCTAAGTAAAATTGTTTCATTTCTCCACTATTTTATCTTCCCTAAATGGTGTGAAACATGTGACGCGAGTGCTTCGCCAACTCTGGAACCAAATCGAACCCGGAATATGAAATGGGTTGTGTTGAATTGCTTTGGATTTTTAATGAAAGGGAGGTATACAGGGAACAGTAAAGAGCATCGTCCATTTCATGCTCTAAGGGAAGTCACTGGAGCAGGATTCAGGGGAACAGGTTATTTACAGTATATTTTCAGATTTTAAGTCTGAGAGAGACAACTCAAACAAACGTAGAGGTAAAGCTTGCTATTTAATCGCAATTTGCTTTAGCTTTGCCATTTTTCATTAACAGATGTGAAATCTTCCCTAATTTTATGTACCGCATAGATGTCTGCTTAATTCGGATTTAAGTAGTGAAAAGTAGTGTCTTTAAACTTAAATACCACTATCAGTTATGAAAAAGGGAATCATGGATTTTACGTGGGCAAGTACACGAGGCCGTGTTTCTTTGTCTGTCTCCATTTACAAGCCAGCTACCAGGACCGCCCACGTCACATCTTCCCTGCTTGCACATAGCCGCAGAGAAACATGGACTTCTAAATCGAAGGTTTTGTCTACCGTGTGCTCGGGTTGAAAGGTTAAGGAGAGTTCAGTCCTCTTAATACTTAAGTAAATTCTGGGAATATGTTTTTCAAAATTCTTGATCGATTGGGAGCAACTTAGGCTCCCACACCAAAAGCAGGCAAGTTTTATCGGCTAGTGTCAACAGACTGCCTTGTCAAGTGATATTCTCCTCTGTTCAGGCATTTAACTTCACGACTTTAAACTAAATTCTTTTGGAGAAGGACGACAAACCATCGGCTTACCGGTAAAGGGTGCAATGATGATGCCAATGCCACAAAGAGTGCCAACAATGAACCCAGCAAAAACTGCAGCTGGAGTGACACGAGCCCAGTAGAAGGCGAAGTAGAGACTGCCCAGTAAGGGACCGCAGAGAGCGCTAACGTAGTGACATATGTCGATGAGTGATACCTACAAGAAGGTGAATCGGTGCCTTAGGTGAATGCGCTTTCCTGAAGTCGGACAGAAAGGATCTGAATGCCAGCGGACATTTGGGTCGAATTGGAAATGTGGGTAGTGGAACTACACATGCCGCAAGTTTTGTCGCTACTTAGGGTGCTAGGCAGCAGTAATATGTGTATCTGGCAGCACCGCCCCCACCTATGGTTCCCAGCGGGTTCTCGACAGTATACTCAGTCTTGTGAGGACGTAGAACTCCTCCTCAACACAAATCTTGTGGCAAAATCTAGAAACAGACGATCTGGGACCACATAAGGCATGTTCATTTTGGTAAAACAAATCGTCATGAATTGGTAAGGAGCACATGTCATTCATTTGTGATGCTAAGAGCATATGTACAGTGCACCAGCCATCAGTCAACTGGTTTGGATGTCTTGGTACTTGGTTAAGTTGGTCTTCACGTGACTCCTTAGTCTAAGATTTGGCTTCCACGTGGATGGCACGGAAGCCAGCTCAGTCCTTCAATAACTCGATAGACAGAGTTTTTGGAGTAAAAACACAAAAACAGCAGATATGATGGAGACAAACCTCCACTAAATCAAGGAGCATTGGACCAAAGAGGAATACGGCGAGGACGGTGTATACAGCGTAGTTGCGAACATTCCTCGTATGCTGGATGTACTGCCGATACTGGCCGTGTGTTGGACATGCTGAGCGAAATGGCACTCTCTTGCGAGCAAACTGGTGATCTCTATGAAACAGAGAGTGCTTTGTCACTAACAGAAAAGTGGTGCGGAACTTACTCTGTTCATTGTCGCCTCTTAACTCTGCAAATATTATCGTTCTCTCCAATTTCTTTGTCTCCAAGTGCTCCTAGATAAACCGATTTTTTTATTCTCTAGATTTTTCACACCTTAGTCCTCATAACTTAATCCAAATATCTGGAAACAATGATGGTGCCTTCTATGCTACTCATTTACCTTTCAGTAGGGGGTTCGGCTTGTTAAGAATGCCCTTCGTGACTGAAATAGCGAAGTAGTGCTAGGCTTCCTGTTTCTCTCCCCAGTAAAAGTGGGCTTCTCAGTATCTACCTTAGAGTTGAGGGGTGGGATCAGCCTCACCATTTCGCCCTAACAATGCATCCATCCATCAAACAATCTGCGCTCCTCACTTGCTCATTACCAAACCACTTGATAGATCACTCTCATTTGGCTTATTTTCTTTTCTTTACCTTGGAAGAGAGAGACTGATTAATGTAAAAGGGGGAACCCGTTTTGTGGGGTAAAAAACCTATCCGTTCAGACATCTTCGCTGCATCTACCATCAAGGAAATAGTCTACTTTCTTAAAAAAGGCTATTTTTGCCCCTTTTTTAGCATTTCTTAACAATTTCTTGTGTTCTTCTCGTAAAAGTTGAATTGCCACTTTCCCTACCAGCGGATAGTTGCACCTGGAAAATTGTGGCCCCCACTCACATGACTGACTCCGTGGTGGATTAGGTTAACCACTCCGCGGTAAAAAAAGGGCAAAATAGGAGGTTGCTGTACTCATCTTGAAGCAGTCTTGACAAAAAACCTTTAGAAAATATTCATAGATAATAAAACAGAGTGGAAGTGCCCTCTAGAGCCTTTGAAAGGTGAGGAATCTTGACGTGAGGTGGTTGATCAAAGGCATGGCAATGACGTTCATGGAATAGCAGACAAAATTTCCAGAGAATGAATAAATAACTATAAAATAACAGTAACAAAAATTTTATCATTATACAAAAGAAACGGGGAGAGGTTTATCAGTTTCGGGGCTATTTATTTCGCCTTTTTGAAAGGGAGGAGTGGTCATTTCGTCTGGAATATTTTGGTGTCTGCATGATGCAACGCCAAAGGAAGCGGACGAAAAAAAGTGAAAAGTAAAAGGAGGAAGTGTGAAAGTCGTCAGGTAGTGGAGACTTACTTCTCATCCCTCTGACAGTGGAAACAGGCCGCCATGCTTTTGCACCGACACCTCTCCCTACTCTCGCAGCAGCGGCCGCGTCTCAATCCGCACAAGACACAATTGTTTACCTCCTCCGTCTTTTTGAAGGGCTAGAACAAAAAAAGGTTGAAAAATTGCTTTCTAAATCAAACAGATATTACATTTGGGAAAAACACTTTAAGTATTAAAGTGAAGTGGATGCCTTCTAAGTTTTGATGTCCCTTGATTCAGTGCGTAAGTAGGGGGTGTTCCCGTCTAACCGGGATTTTTGAATTTTAAGGAAAAAAAACTCCCTTCAAATTTTGTTACACTCTCTTTCTACACCTTAATTTTATATTGTGGCTCCTTGCCAACTTCTGGTCACCTTCAGTATGGAGTGATTTGTCAGTATGTCTAAACCGTCCATGAACAACCTGGCTGCTTCATTGCCTCCCCCCGTTTTTAGTTCTATAAGATGTTGGTGCCTCCAAACAGTGCCTGTCCGTGACAAATTTGATTGCAGTGATGTATCAGGACTGGTGATGCATGTGCTGCTCATTCAGAACCACACAGATGTTCCACACGATGATGTCTGGTAGGCGTGATTTGATGAGAGCTGGAGATCACGACAGCTGAACTGGCCAATGTCTTTCACTGCAGTGACGGGCAGCTCCATTGCTCATTAATAGGACTTTTGATTGCTTGGATGATGGATATACGTTACGTCTGTCTCCGTAACGCCAGAAGCCATGGTGGTTCCCGCAGCCCACCATAACAATGGTCGTGGCTGCAAACAATCTCGCCAACAAGTGGTTCTGGACAATCAACGTATGTATGTAATCCCCATCTTGAAGCCGCGCAAGAGAAGAGTGGGTCCATGAGGAAGTGAAACAGAGGAGCTGTTTATGGACGATCATATTAAAGCTGTCTGGATGTGGAGGGGGACCGTGTCTAAAAAAGTCGTAGCTGATGCTCCCCGAAATGCACTTAAGTCACGCTTTTACTAAATAAGGCAATTTGATAACTTGAGAAATGCGTCTACTTCTTCCAATGAATTAGCCGAATATTTTAAGTGGACCTACCCGAATATAGGTCATGTAGACATCGACGACAAAGATACTACTGATAGCCATTACTTCTGAGCAGATGCAAGTTGTCACTGTACAGATTATGACGGTATTGAATAGCACGGACCCGAATCGACCAAAGAGGAACTCCAGCACAGCATAGACTATCAGACCTTGAAGGAAAAATTTTTGAAGGTCATAACAAGAAGCCTGGAAGTAAGGAGTTAAGTGAATTTATATTGCCTATGGGTGTGCAGTGGAGGTCGCTTAAGTTTCCAAAAACTGCACTTCCAGTCGGTTGTGTGGCGTCCTTGTCACGCTAGTGGCTCTTCAATCCTTCTGCCAGGTCAGTCTGAGTTCGTATGACCTCAGAGAAGACTGGAGATGCTGCGTTGGTGGTAGCGGAAAGCAAACTTGGTCCTAAAGGGTAGCTACCTCAATTTCCATTGCTGAGTGCTAAACCTTAACATGACGAAAGATAGACATCTACCACTGAAAGGAGGATCTGCGATGGCCCCTGATAGAAGAGCTAAAACTGACATCAAGCTTCGGTAAATACCCCATTCTCGAGTTCCATGGAAATGTTGTTGACAGCCGAAATGAATCTAGCCCGGAAACAATCCGGCAATGTTCGTTGCAGGGCTGTCTACGGTCTGGTGTTATTCATCAATGAATAGGGTCACCTTCTGTTGTTTCAGCTTCAAGGTCTCGTGGTGAGATCCACCAACATCAGATCATCCCACCACTTAAATGTGGGTGGCTAAAAAGTCCTTACATGAGGGAATTTAATCATGCAGCTCACCATTCAAACACAACCAAAAGGCGGCAATTTGTTTGATGGGTCGGGTTTTAAAACAGGCCTGTCTGGTAGAGAGGCTTTCGGCGCCAATGTTGGTTCAGGCAGTAAATACTCCCTAAAAAGGCCTGCAGTCATAAAAAGGAAAGGAGCTCAAATCTCCTTCTCTCCGAAAAAGCGTAAACACTTTCTCTTAATGGTAGTGATGTGACAAAGAGCTACTTGTGGCAGACTGGTGGTTGTTTTAGCTAGCTAGACGATTTTAATGTGTAGCTAGTCAATTTGGGCGTCAGCAACTGAGACCTCTGGTCGGACCATCAAAACAGACTGTTTGTCTACACTTCAGGCGGCTGTTTAGGAGCTGCACTGATGGTAACCTTGGGGACCCCACCGCCATGGCAACCCATAGAAAAAATACTAAACACGTCTAAAGTCAATAAAATTTTTATAAATAACCACAACTAATATGCTGTAGAGTTTGCCAAGACCTGTGGCAAGTATACGGACATCAAGAAGTACACCATAGATGATCCAGACCTTCCGAAGCCAAAACTTCTTTTGCATCTAGGGGTCAAACCATATGGTTAGACGGGATATGTTGTTCCACTTCTTTATCGCTCAGTTAATTTAGGCTTATAAAGAGGCATTCGTAAACGCCGATATATGAAGACTGTCCAAACTCTTCCGACCTCCAGATATTCGGCCTTCACCTCGATGCCACAGACCCCTCCTTCTTCAAACTCTACTACTTAGCTTCCAGTTTTCCTCAAAATAATTTTATCTTTTTAACTTTTTGGGTAGCTGATGTCATATAAGAGATGCGAACTTGCCCAAACGCTCCATGAGGTTCGAGAGCATGACCTGTCCATAACTCATATTGAGAGCAAGGTAGCCCAGTCCACAGGCTGTGCCGAAGACAGCACCCACAGGGAAGAAGAAAAGTCCACTGGCTACCAAGTTAAATCCACTAGTTTCAGGTTCGGAGCTTAATACACCCTGCCAAAACGACTGATCAAGCAGGAGAAGTACCAAGTAGTCTAAAAATTAGAAGCTATATAAAGGACGCTGAAATGGAAATTCAGTAGGCTAAACTCAGTGAACAAATTTCTTAAATACTATTTTTAATTTTCACTGCTTACGTTTTGTTTGCTTCTATGTACGTTTGTTTAGTGTGAAAAGTGGAAATTGTGGCCTAAAATATTTCCAAATTCGATCAAAGTTTTTAGGTACTTGTGCATTGAGGGCGCTCAAGTAGCCACAGTAGATTGAGAGTCGTCACAAAAATAAATAGAAAGATAAAGCTTTTTAAAGTCCTTATCACTGCCAAACGTGCCAAAGAGTTTTCAGTGACTGCTAAAACTCACCATCAAACTCTTTTAAGGCATGAAAGATGGCGGGAAGTGATCGAAATGAGAGAGCTGGTGTTGTGCTGTTTCGAACTCGTTGGCAAGCTGTCAAGGCGATAAGTCGTTCACAATCTCCTGAAAGAGCCGAAAAACCATCTCTGAAGTGTAAAATTTAGTTTTTTTCTCAGGACAAGCTGGTTACAATTGATCAGGGACCAAAAATTGTTTCACTGATTTGTGACGATTTCCACTTCATCCTAATGCGTTAAATCGTGTTTTTTTTGCCCAAAACTTGATACAATGGTTTATTAGGGAAGGTCAGCTGAGCTTGTAGTCCAGTGATCTCTTATTTGGATACACCCTTCAAATGACAGGCGGACAGATTTTAGCAGCGTCGTGACTGGGGCATGCCATCGACTACCGAGAGGGAGGAGGAAGAAGAAGAAGAGGAGGCATACTCTTGCAACTTTTCCTTGTAGCACAAAAAACTTAAAATGTTTCTGCTCACCCAGGGGATATAGTCCGGAGTTGAAGAAGATGGCATCTCCGGTGAGTACCACGATGGAGACTAGAAAGGCGGTGGTAACATAGGAACTGCTGAAGAGGCTGGAGATGCCACCGAAACCCAGGATTACACCAACAGTAAAGATAATAACCGCCAGGATTAATTCCTTGCTCACATTTGGAGAGATCTGTATGAGAGCAGTCAGAGATCCTGGCAGAAGAGTTTAAGATGGCAAAGAAGTGATTATTTCCAAATCCACTTGGCGAGGTATGCGTCAGTCTATCAGCAAGATAATGCCTTCTGCCCTGTTCCACTAATCTCTTACTTTAAACTACTCCTTGTATCGTGTTAGGTCAGTTGAACAAACCTCGTGGATGCAAATCAAGGCTGTCTGTTGTACAAATCAAGAATGGTGCGAATCTTAAGGTTTTGAAGTTGCTCCTCAAGTACAGTTCATGTCATTGGTTGAACCCGAACGACCAGCCCCACACTTAAGACACACCGCATCAGACTCACAGGGCTCTGCTTACTTGGTGTCTGTGCGGGTGTGGTGCACTAAGGTACCAAATTGACCAGGGTCAATTTGTCACGCCTCAGAGTTATCCACTCCTCACAACCAGAGACGTATGGGTCAAGTGGGCAAGAAGGACTTCTGCCTTTGTAGGAGATAGACAGCGTGAACCCATAAAAGAAAAGGTATATGCTGACTCCTACAAGAAATCACAATAAAATAGCTCACACCCCACCTTTTACAACTCAGAATCTTACACCTCATACCACCATCTCAAATGTCAGGGGGATTTAAGAAGTGGAAGAAAGGGTAGGAGAGGAGAGGTGAGATCAAGAACGATGGGACTAGGTCCAGGTAGTTCGCTTCACTAAAAGGAAAACTGAATTACAAGGCAAAATTAAAAGCAGACTTGTGCTTCGTTGGAAGAGGATTATAGTTCAGGGATTGCTTTGGTGATGTGTTCAATGTATCAAGTGCATTATTGGCTTTTTGCAAAAAAAATTGAACAATTTAACCCGCTCACTGTATACTACTAATTCCCTTTATAAGTAGCGCCAAATACTAATCTATAACCAGAGCGCAAATAACAGTAGGTGCAAAGCACAATTTAATGCCAAAGTTAAGGATGTCTCCACAAGCTTGTCAGGATGACATTAATAGGCGTAAAACAGGAAGCGATTGAATACAAGACTGATTAGAATCGACCGCCCTGAATGTAGAACTTTTGCTAGTTTAAATCCACAAAATGTGCATTCAAGTAAGCAAGAAACGGAGTTGGAACCAGGAAGTTGTCAGTGTTAGTAGAATTAAGGATCAGAGGCCTCAATTTAGGGGCAAAACTCAAGGTGATATTAAGTTTTGTGCACAGCACAAATCCCGCTTTGGAATCAAATCGGTATTCCTTACCAACCTAACTCTTTAATGGGTTTGCAGAAAAGATGACAAATCTTTATGACACTTTCTTGTCAGTTGTTGCGCCGCATCTTGCAATATAGTGAGCTAACACAATGGTAGGAGGCTTTATAAAGCGTCGTTCTAACGGTCAAAGACATTTGGACTACTCAAATCTCCCTAAACCTGGAAATACAGCCAACCGCAATGCGAATCAAGCAGTTGCTACCAGGTCTGATTAGCTACAAACGGTATCTTTTTCTTCTTTGAGTTCATCTCGACCTGATGGCATTTTTAAACGTCAAATCCTGTTTGCTGTCATTTGTATAACTGCTTCTACCAGCTGTAGCGACGCCAACAAAGTTAACCTTGTTGCTCCAGTGTCTTGATTAGCCGATGAGCAACAGACCTGACAGGAAATTAACTGTGACCACAATATCGGCCAAGGGGGTGCCGTACGTGAGCAGGGGAGGCAGCCAGATCGGACAGAGGAGTTGTCTATTTTGAGTGCACACATCATGTGTGCTGCGGAGGTAGAGGTTGCATACAGGCGGTGAGTGTTTTGGTCATGAAATGCTTTGACCGTATAGTCGTGTCTAAGTCTTGACTACCTGGCGGGCCTGAGTAAGGACATGGGTGAACCGCACATGTGATCGTGTTGTGCCATCCCCACGGTCGACTAGCGTTCCTGCATGCGTCCGATGGACACAACAAGATGACAGGAGTCGCAAAGCTTATACGGGGAGAAAATGGAGGAAATGTCACATAAAGGTATAGTAGCTAACTTACAGGTACGTTGGTGATGAAATAAGAAAAAAAGGGGAGTTGATTTATCATCTAGATACTGGTATCGACTATGAGAAAGTTGGTGTCTAAGACCTCCAGGTCAATCGGTCATGTTACAAGACGATATTCACCAAGGCTCGTCTTGTGTGCACAAATTAGATCCTTCCAAGAAGTGTCTTTTATCCACAGTTTGAGTCAGTCGTTTAGTAAGGATTCCTTAATGACTACATCAATTCTCCTCTGCCTTCCAGACTTGAGCATTGAAGAAAGGTTGGGTCAGTCGATTTGCGTTTTGAGTAACAAATTACAGTAACAAAATGGGAATAATAGGTGTCAAGTCATTAGTTAAAGAGATTGTCAAGCCTCATCCCTGGTATTTTCTGTGGGCACTTTGAGTGGTCTCTTAATCCTTTATCCACTCATCTACCAGATAAGATGCCGCCCAAGTTCAACAAATCGGGGGAGTGAGGCAATACCGTCAATCCCGAAGAAGATGCTACTCCCAATTCCTCAAAAAACCTTTGTTACCCACATGGATCCCCAACTCAATCAGTTAAATGTGCCCTCAACAAAACGGTCCTCCAGTGCAAAGGGTCTTCAAATTGGAGGTAGTTGGGAGAATTGAGGAAAGTACTCGAGTTAGATTGCAGCCAGAACCATCCTTGCTACCTTAAATCGGACTTTATCGCATTTCGGATCTCCCCATAAGCCTTTCAAAGTAATCTCCAGCGATGTAAGAAGCACTGGCTTTGGGAGAGCCGAATTGAGGAGACAAGTAGAGAGGGCGCCCTCGGTTGTGCCACCCCTCCTACTACCTGAGGTTGAACACTTCTATAACCCCTTCTCTCTTCTCCTTTCCACTACGAAGGACTCTTTGGACAACTTAAAATTAGATCTACTGCGTTACCAGGTTTTGTACAAAGTCCTAAGTCATGCTTCTCAAATGCGAGACAACAGGAGCAAACTTCTAAGTATTTACTGTTGTCAGAGGCAACAAGAAAGGGCTAGTGGTGTCATTAAAATTGGTTCGCTTGTGACGAAACTCACTCTGTCGCCACTAATTAAGCTACTTAAGACACGCAATCGTGGGAACTTCCCTCCTGGACTCCTGCCTCCATCAATCATGACAAAGACTTGGAGACCCGTCTCCTTTGTAGACTGGTTAGAGAATTGAATCGGTAGAGCCATTTTGGGTTCATTTAAATGTAGTTTATTAACTAATTAGACCACAGTCTACCGAAATCGGAAACAATGGAAAGGAACACCGACTTTAGATACAACAGATTGCATTATTTTATACGACATATGTGAGAGGTTGCTGTTAAGAGGAACAAGCTCGTTCATCCAGAGTGCGGGCTCTTAGTGTCCAACTTTAAATCTGGCGGCACTCAGTTACCAAGTCAGTGGAAACGGGGAGGAATTGTCCTAATGGTGGGTGCTAGACCAATTCACTCGACCCAGTAGTAGGTCTGCGATCTGGATTTAGCAGCTGATCTAGTGGACTCCATAATCAACTCACCCGCCTACACGTATTTACCCTCGAATCGGACTGTCAGAACCGAGTCACTCGGTACTTGACCACTTCCTTTTGGTTTTTCTTGTAGCTCCTCAATGTGTTTTCATTCTGTGGAAGTGAACAATCTAGCCTTAGTGACCTAGTAATCATCTCATCTTTCGTCTCCCACCTTTTCTTCCACTCCTCAAATCCACTTGACATGTGACGTGATGTGATGTGTCCAATGCCAAACAGTGTTGATGGCCAGTCGGAGATCGGAGGGGTGTTTGATCAGGAAAAAGGAACGAGGTTGGAAATGAGATGAGACTCTATCTTCCTCCATCCCTACCATTCCACTGTGTGGCGCAAGATCTTCTCATGGGGTGAGTTCGGTGGCGGGGTGAGGTATGAAATGCAAGTTGCGAGATGTGCGGTGCAGAATATTTGGCTGTGACTTCTTGTAGGAGTAAGAATATTTCCCTTCCGAGACTGTTTTAGCTATCTGGTTGGTTTCTACGACGCCGGATGTCATTTCTGCATGCATAGAAGACATCCATGGTTGTATGGTGTAGATACCTTGGAGGCGTGGGTGGTTGATCTTCGGTAAGTTGGTTCTGTGGTGTGCCATACAGACACGCAGAGTAAGCAGAGTCTCTTAAGATTGATGTTGTGTATGCCGTAGAAATGTGAAGTGGATATGTGGTAATGAATAGCTCGTCTAGAGAAAACCAGTAGCGCCTTTGCTTCCTTAACAAGCTCTCGAATGCCTACACATTTCAGTCCTTTTCCCATGTTGGTCAGAGAACTATCTAAAATAGATGAGATTTTAATTTAAGGCAAGGGAGAGGAGAATCTGGTGTCGTCTTTGTTTCGGGTATGATTGAAACCCGGTTGTTTGGCTTCCACCACGACTTTTGCGATTAATTTACCCCTAAATCATTTATTTTGTTTATTTTATTTCGTAATATGCGTTGAGCACATAAATCTCCCTTTATTTTCATTCACAGTGACACTAATTTTTTAGACTTCTTTAATGGGACAGGGCATTCCTCTTAAAGTGGTTCGTTTTCCACACCAACTTATTTAAATTACTTCTGGAGCGCATTTTGTTCAGCTGCCATGTCCTCCTCAAAATCTTGGCAGCAAATTTGACGTGGAGCGATCTTCTATGTACAAAATCCAAATTTACCCGGAAGGTACATTCAGCTGTCACGCGATGACACGAGGGTTGGTTTGAAGGAAGGCGAGGAAAGTAGCTGAGGATACAGTAACTACCACAGTATCACACCGAAATTCTTGGTTCTCTGACACAGTGCTAATAAAAAATTGTATGGTCCTTGCGGCTATCACTTGTTGGATCCTAGTGGGGATCTTACCGGTAAAACTTTTATGCGGCAAAATGCATTAAAAAAGATAGAACAGAAGTCTTTTAGCTCTTTTTAAAGTTTCAACTCATCATGCTTGTTCCAAAAATTCGTGAAGAGGCAAAAACAATCCTAAATATCCAAACGTCGAAATTTGATGTTTTCTAACAGCATAAGCTGAAAAATACTAACAAGACAGAAATGTTTTTATTACTATGAAATAAAGAAATAAGAGTACTGATTATTTACCGATGGAAGTGTGTGCAATTCCAATTAAGAGTTCTTTTTCAATTTTTCGACGTTTCTACCGTCTATTTAGTTCCCGAATGTTTTGGAAGGCGCGCTCTTCCTTGCTTCTTCCTGATTGTCTGCTAATAGGTTTAGTTAATAACCCCTCCAAGTTCAAGGTCAACCATTTGCTTTTAATAAGCGTGACCTAATCGGCCAATCGCCGCAGACGCGGACAAGGACTCGGGCTCAGAGTCACACCTGGCTGCCGTTGTTTAGCTACCCGAGTCGATCATTAACGCCAATAAAGTCATCTGCCTTGAAGTCTTAACGCTTATCTTGGGAACTCTGAAACCCCAATTATAAGAGCTGTCATCTCTGCCACAATTCGAAAGAGTCATTGTAATGTGAGGGACAAGATGATGTAGTGGTTGGGAAGCATCCACCGAAGTGAGTAGCTAAAATCGCTTGCACTCTAGAACTCGATGGTAGTGGCCAAACTGCAAAGTTTTCTGTTAGTTCTTCTGTCCTTTGCGTTAATTTGACCTGGAACTGAATGAATACCCTTTTTCTACTTTTGACAGGGTAATGTTGCCTACATTATCACTTCCAAGCACCCCCCTAATATCCTACTCCATGTTTCTTGGTCATGCTACAAGTCATTTTACTGTACGACTTCAATGAGCTATGATCGTCCAGGTAAACGGGCATAGTGATCCTCCTTGATGGAGGCTCTTGTAAACCCCAATTCTCTCCTCTTCCCTATGCACAACTTCATTTACTGGTGGCAGATTGATGAGCCAACGGACCAAATTACAAAGGACACCTTATGCTAAGATTTTATCTTCCCATCTTCAAGTTTAAAGTTGACACCGGACAATTGTTAGCTCTCTAAATTAGGGGCTGGGATGAATCACCTCGTAATTGATGGGAGAATATGACTGAAGGACGACTCACTTGAGCAGATCTCGAAACTCATCCCGAGGTTGACAAGGAGGGCGCAGAAACAGAAAAGGCAGTGGACAGGCGTACCGAAGCGTGTACGTACCACCTGTAGGAAGGTTCGGGCACCCGGTGCCTTAGTTTTTAACTCCACTGTCAGCGGTGCCGCCAAGGTGGTGGCCACGCAAGCTGCTATTGCACTGAAGTACGCTCCACCGACACCGTTCTAACCCGAAAGGCAGAGAAGAAAGTCAACCTTCGTGAAGGCCTCTAAGAACTCTATCCAAGTGTGAGTTTAATTCATTTAGCGAATAAATAAGCGAAAAAACGTGGAATCCGTCTCTGGCCCAGTCTATGGTCACTTGGCAAAATCGCTCAGTCCTCAATCGAGCTTCGGCGACAATGACTTGGGTTAACCTGGGGAGTCCTGTAAAACGCACGCGATGATTTATGGACATACATTATGAATCAAGAGATGGATGTGCATCTGAAAGCCCATACGGTTCTTTCTAATGTGTTTTCAACTGCTTAGAGCCAACTTTATACCAATTGAACGAACCTGGTGGATGTGATGGGAGTTTGCCTGAATGAATGTATTACAAGAAAGTGCGACAGTTGAACTACATGCGATTCTTCTGAAGTCCGCAAATAGATTTATTTAAAAAATGTGCAAAAAGGATAACAACTTTTTAACGACTTAAAATGATAAGGATAACACATGTGGGCAAATTGATCTAGACTATCACCTTTGGTAAAGTGTCATGCAGGACGCCCAAGTTCTCTGACAGCTTGTCAAGATTTAGGCAATGACCGACTACAAAATGTTGGTAGCTCTTAATTTATTGTCATGTATGTTTTCTGTGTGTACTAAAGGAATCTCTGCTATACAATGCCTTTGTTTTAAAAACCACGACTAGAATCAAAAGCTTGTAGCATATGCTACTGAGATAAAATAGGTAGCGTATCACTTGGTGCACGGCTTGGGTTGTATCGATGAAGGAGTTGCAAGAGATGAGTTTGGCAACAAAGTAGGCTACAATTACGCCCGAGGTTCTTCTCCCTCCATCGCGGTAAATCTCCTCGGTCTTCTCCTACAGATACAAAAACCTGAACATGAGTGAAACCACATATATTCTTGCATGTTATGCGTGGGTGTTGATTCCAACACATATTCACAGGGCGGGATTCCATTAGGAAGGTCGATAATCCTTTAAACTTTTAAGCTGAACCAGTTTTGAGATGTAGTAAAGCACAGCATAGTCACTTTATTTTATGTTTTATCTGTACTATTTTAGGTGCTTCATTATTTCTAAAAACTTATAACCTGAGTAAATTATTTGTGCACAACGTTTCCAAAATCTGGTAAACAATGCTTCGGTTCTTTAATACGTAAAGCATTCAATTCGTGTAGATCGAAGCTTTCGTTTTTGTGGCATGGCGTCTCAGCGATACTGATCACAAATAGTTATGACCAAGTACATATTGAGAAAAATATGCATTGGCCTATGCATAAAGGACAATATCTTCCTATCTTATGTAATATCATTTGTCAGATTACTCGTTTAGTAATTTTTCTTTCAATGACCAAATAATCTTCGAAACGAGTAATCAGAATTGAGCATTAATTTGCATTAATTTGGACTTAAGTTCGTACTTTAAACTGCTAAAAATGAGTAACTACAAGCCATTTTTTGCAAAATTTTCTACATTTTAAGCTTTTATAGAGCAAATTAGACAACTAGAAATCGTAACCAACTTTGGTTTTAAACGTTGCCGCAGCCTCCAAATAATAGCGCTTAGGTGGAAGTGTCTTGCTCCAAAGCCTAGATGAGAGTGTGGTTGTCCAACTTGATATCACTCTTTACACAAGATGGCATCTTTGTAGAAAGTATATTTAGAAGGTCGCTTGATTATTTATTACAATGTCTTTCCAATAGTTCGGCTTCTTTTAGATCTGGCTTATTCCCCACTCTTATTTTATTAGGCGTAGATCGCCGTGCCTATGGGAAATTCACATGGTAAAAATGGTTGCATTTCCGTAGGTAACTTAATAGGAATTGGACCTAGCATTCAACATTTTGGCTATAATGGTTTCAACGCCCTCACTGAAAGGTGGATTTAAATATAATGCTTGCACGGACGTTACAAAAATCAGTGTGGGTCATTTTTCTACTTTGCATGGATAGAAAGCCCCAAATATTGAGTATTAAGTCATCGGCTGAGGAAGCGTTGATTGCGCTTGCCTTTGTAAATCCTTGTTTGGACCAAGGATTTTCCACTTACATACCCTTTTGTAATCACTTTTTCTTCTTACACATGTCTTTTTTCACATTATAGGTTGTGTTTTTCCATGGAAATAATTTATTACTCATTGGCAAGGATTATTTGCGCAAAGCAATGCGTCCGCAGCATTTGTTTGTCAGTCGTTTTAGGATTTTTTGAAATCAAATGGAGGTACAGTATGTGACACTTTATTTGCAACAAAGTAGTGCATACGCATTTTGGTTAACTCTTTGTTTTGGTAAGCGGGCCACTTTAGACCTCCGCCACCGTACCTTCGCCTGGCGGCCTGGCATCCGGCCCATGCCAGTAGCCCCACTATGCATATATTTATACATGCATATATATTTTTACCGAGTATTCTGTCCTTTTTCCTCTTAGGAATGTCTTAGGGTGCTGCGGCACGGTCTTAAACCTCCTTTTTATCCACAAAGGCTCCCGAACATGTAGAAAAAGTTTGCTCCCCAGTTACTTTGATACTTTGCAAAGTATGAGGGGTGGATCGTATGGAATGTCAAAGGCCTCGAAATATTGCAAATATGGAGATACCAGACAATAAAAAAACGGAATTGAAACAGATGTAATCTTTGCCATTGTGAGTATGTTTTTTATCCAGTTATCAGTTCTTTAATACTGAGTATCAATAGTCAACCTTCAAACCAGCTTTTCTTAGTATTTTCTATGAAAAATAAGAAAGTATTTTTGTCTCCGCTTTTGTGAATAAAAAACAGCTGTTAATACACTTATCCAGTTAAAATGTGGTAGTTAATAAAAGTAAATAGGAGGTACCGAATTTGAATCGCGTCATTCAGTTAAGGCCGATTAAATCAAAATTTTTTGCAAAGGAAATATCCTTTTTAAGCTCTTAAAGTCTCTAAGGAATTAGATAATCCAATTTGGTTTATTTTGAACTCTTTTCATGTAAAAACTCATTTGTATTAAATTAAGTGATGGAATTGCCACAAATCTTGAAGCACTGATTACCAAAAACAGCTGATAATGGGTAATTTCGTGTTTTTATGCATAACCAGAAGTAAGGCAGACTAAATTTCGTCCCCAAACCATTTAATTTCCTTTACTTCCTCCTTAAAGCAAATCTCCACCCCTCTTGACCTAAATATGCTACAAGACGATCTGCAATGAACTCACGTTCTCCTCGAAGCACTTTGCCCTAAGCCAACGCGAAATGATGAGAGCCAGCATTAGACATAGCCAAGTGAAAAGAACGAAGGTGATGAGGAAGTTCCCCGTGAATGGATTCAATCCAACCACTTCACTGGACCAGGGCTCCGGCTCACACAAGTCCACGTTCATCTCGTTGATGGGAAAAAATGTAACTGGAAGCTGCATCTCTCTCCCACCTGCTCGTCTTATTTTTCACACCCAACCATCATCGAGCTGAAAGCGCCCAATTTAGTGTAAAGAAAGGAGTATTAAGTCTGCTTGCGTGTTAAGTCACCACCCTAGCAATGGGGCGTTGACTCTTTCCTCTCGAGGTTGGCTTGCGCGAATTCAAGGGAGTCGCCTAACTTTCAAAATGGCGACTTTTATAGGAAAACAGCATGATGAGAAGTGAGCAGTTTTCTTCCATAGGTGGTCATCACTTCGTTTTGATAGAAACGAATACGCTTATAAAAGTGGATTTACAGAGCAAAATAGTACGTTACAGGTTAAGGTGGGATATAGACTGCACTGGGAAGGTGATGCGTGCCTACTTAAGAGGAAGAGCCGTCGATTGTGGTGACTACTCTTTCTCTACTCATATTGCCATGTACTGCTGTGGGCTACGAGACCTTCCGAAAGGTGGTACACGACAAATCGGTCTGGACTAGGCTGGCAGCATGGATAGAATGTCAGGCTATCGGGAAGGAAGATAAGGCTCTACTGCCTTTGTCAATTTAATCGACTAAGAGCTTTTGCCTTGTGAGCTGACACAATAGACCCGAGGAGGAGTGATGTCGCGAAGATTTTTGACTCCAGTCCTCGCTAGATGGCAGTAGCTTGTGGCACGTTTCTGTTCTTGAATTTAAATGGCTGCAAATACGTGTGTATGCGGCTGGCCACTTTGTCTGGTCTACCCTCGACTCCGAAAGTCATTCCTTTTCCGACTTTCTGTATGTGCTGAACGTTCGAGAATCCCTTGCTTCCACCCTTGTTCTCCTGATTGGCTGTTGTCACGTCCGGATCACTCTCAAGCTTGCTACCACTCCCCATGAGGGAAAAAGTAGTTAAATGCTCTAAATAAGTCTTAGGTCTGTCGGGAAGCAAAGGCCTCCGCTTCGAAGTCTTATCTACTGATTACTCACGCTGATTGGCAGATCTACAGGATCTTGACTCGGTGGAAGTGCATACTACTTACAAACGTAAGTAGAACGGCACAAGTAGTTTTAAGTGCCCGCGGAGTTTGACACACACGCAGTTAAACAAAATATCAAATCAATACAGTTGTATTTGCAGTGATCTACCAATGGACACTTCAATCTACAGTTCCCATTCCCCATGTAGCCACATAACCACGAAAGGTAGCTTTGTTAGGACTTTGGAGAAAAGTTGGAATTACAGCGGGATAAATGGTAGAAACAGAGCCTTCCACCGTCACTTTGAGGGTGTGAGCATTAAAGTACAGAGAATGGAAAAACACATCAATAGGGGATATTTCGATGTAAAAAGGAGTTAAAAATCAGCTTTTGTGAGATGCGGCTTAACTCCCGAAACGCTAATCGGCGCTTCACTGACGGAAGGAATGAGCTAAACGTACCTCCTCGGTGAAAGCATACATGGCAACGATATCATAAAGGCAGTATACTTGTCACTAGAAAGATAATGAGGTAGGCGATTTTCCCTCTTGACTTTCTTCTACAGAGGTCTTCCAGCCGGTGAAGCAGCACAATGAAGTGAGTGAATGCAAGGCTAGAAGATCAGTCACGGATTGGAACCACTTCGGTGGACCTCACCAATAATCTCCAACAAGGAGGATTAGATGACGTTCTGTCAATGACCTTCAAAGACCGCAAAGGGTGTATGAGTTCGGAAGGACCGTCGGTTTTGGGGTAAAGAAGGCGGCGATAGATGAGTGGCATGAGTGACGTGAATGAAATCTTTGCACCACTATCTTGTCAAGAAACCGAAGATTAGTAACTCAGAGAAAGCAAAACAAGTGGAACCCCGATTTTCCTCCTTTTTTATAAAAAAAAGGAATTTTTCAATTAAATTGTTAGTGATGTGGCGCGTTCAAGCTAAATCGGGACTATTGGCAGCGCACCGAGCAAAAGAGGATGATTTTGTAGCGATGCTACATGTGGTAGTGACGAGTAATTTCTATTGCCCACATGTTGTCCGGCGGTCTGTCCACTGTTGACCGCGGGTGTCAGAAGTAGAAGAGGTAGTTCATTCATGGAAAAGCATTTGGCTCCAGCCAACGGATGTCTGCAATCCGTAGACACTCATGCCTACCAAAAGACTTCGGTCATGTGCTCAATCTCAGTTAAATAATCGACAAGCCTATTTATGTTAAAAAAGGCTATTCGTGACGGTCTCGGTGGACACATTACCTGTGGCAACATTGCACAGGACACAGCTTTTTTCCGGATGGGGACGGTGGACATAGCAGGCCCTTTTGCAGATGTTAGCCGACAATGGACGCGAATTTGATTTTTGAGAATCCCGTTGGGATAACAAATTTTTCCGTGGCAAGGACTTTCAAACCTCGATTTAACAAAGAGCTATCTCTTTGAATCAAACTAAAGATGGAGGAGCAAAAGGGCGCCTCTTTGGCGTTTGGTACCTTCATCTCTGAACTCAAAAGTCTCGGTCTAGCTCAAGCAGACTTTGTAATTTGGAAGAACTAATTATTTGGACAAAATCAGTCGTATTGAAATTTATTAGGGTCTGAAAAACTGAAATAATTACCTAAAGGAGAAGCGAATGATTAAGTACCCAAATAAAATAGGATTTTTTAAAACATAAACTTCTCCGCACTAATCTTACCTACAAGTTACCCATTCGCATAACTGTGGAACTTCTCTGAAAAAAGTAAAACGAATTTCCAGAAAACGTTGGTATTTTCTTTTCCTTTAACAACTGTTAAGAGGTCTGACGTTGCCATTTTAAACGACTTTTAGTAGGAGAAATCGATAATTTCTTGACCTTGAACCATTGACACGGGGCAAATACGCAAGAAACGGAGGCAAGAAGAGGCTTGGCCTCTATTATAAGCAGTAAAATGGCCTCTCTTTCCACTCCCAATCCTGTTGTGGAGGCCTCCGAGGAGGTGAAACCAGAGGTGCGGATCCGCTATCCCACCAGAGCTCCGTTTATGCGCTACATGGAGAAGTTGGTGGCGCCCAGGGCGAGCGGTGAAAAGGCACTGCTGGAGAAGCGACCTGCCCCAGCCTATATGCTTGAACCATGGCCAAAAGGCAACACCTTCACAATGATTAAAAATGAACGTATCAAAGAGCTGCGAAGACAAGCAGACGAGAGGCGTAAAAGTGAACTGGAACGCTGTCGTATACCCGGCAATGTCGCTCACAAAGTTCCGCGTCAGTATCGCCAACCCTTCACAGCACATAACAATTTAAAGGAGCTCATCTACGAGGAGAATCTCAAGGAAGTGCACGCACATGGAAGGCTATTTGGGCCGCCAGAACTGACTTATCAACCGAGACGTAAGCATAATGTTCCACTGTTGGAACAGACACGAATTGATGCGGACATTTCCAAGGACACCAAGGATGCACCTGGTGAAAAAAGGGGTGTTTCGTCAGGTGATAGTGGGACCAGTAAGGGAACGGACTCTTATTCTTGGGATTCCTCGCAGAAAGAGAGTGTCTACGACGAATCTCTGCTACCGCAATCGGCACACGATGAGCTACCCAATCGCATTTCGATGCTACGTCCTGCGACCGCTGCTACTGGTGGTGCAGCTCCAGGATCTACCTCGTCCGGACCTGGATTACACCCTCTTGAAGCCTATGATAAAAATTTTGACCAGGTCAACACGTTCATTGATGACCGACGAAAGATTTGCATGGTTAATTTGGCTATTCGGACAAAGGAGGGGGAGATAGCGAGGCTAAACAAGATGCTGGAGGATGAGGCAGCCTTTCTAGCAAACGAAGAGAAGGAGCTAATTATTCGACATGACGAACATGACAAGTACTTGAAGGCAATCTGTCTACGAACAGCAGAGGCGATTAAGAAAGCCGATTCAGAGACTCGGAAGAGAGTCCAAATTACGGATAAGATCAAGCGGACGCGATATAAACTGGCGCACATGAATGCGGAGTGTATAAATTTGGAGGAGGAATTCCTGCGTCTGAGTACGTATAAAGACTTTCTCGACTCGGTAGCAAAGACCCTGGTGGAAACCAAAGCTGCTGATCAGCGCGTAGCGATGAAATTCGTAAAGGTGGATAAAAATTCTAGCGCCGAGGTGGCAGAACCCGTTCCACCTCCTGCACCAGAGGAAGGCGCATCGGAGTCAGCAATAAATGCTTTCTTCCGTAGCCCACAGGATCTGGTAGATATCCTCGCTGAGTTGGAGTCAAATAACCTAACCTTGATTGAGAATGTTCAGGAGCAGGAAGAAGCCTGTGAGCGACTGCGTTTGAAAGCTGCCAGATTGCAGAAAGTGCTCGACGTTGAACGCACCACTGTGGACGATCACATTGCTCGAGAAGAGGACATCATTGCTAAGTTAATGAAGGAGATTTCGGAAATCGAGAATTCAAGAGAGCAAATAAAGGAGTTCACCTTATTAGAACGTTATGACGTCTTTTCGCTTGGCAGTATCGACCAATTCGATCCACCATGGCTTCGAGAATCGCGAACTAGACGGGCGTTGGATGAAGAGGCGGAGAAGCCTACAGTTGGACAGCTGTTGGACATCCTTCATGAACAAATCCACAAACTTTATTGCAGGATATTTGGCACTGATGGCAGCACACGACTCGACACCCTGATGATGTTGAAGATCCTCGAATCAGCCACCGACGACCTGGCTCGTAGTCTGGCAAAGTACAGTCGTATGCAAGTACTGAAGGCGAAGAAAACGGTGGATGAACACAATAGACTCTTAGCAAGGCAACGTCAGAAGGAGGTGGAGGCGTTAGCGCATGAAGCAAAGTTAAGGAGAGCAATTGCCAAGTCTAAAGAGCCACCGAGATGGCATATGGGTCGACGAATTATCGATCGGTCACAACCGCCGAAGGAGAAGAGGAAAGCGGGTGTGGAAGTGCGCCAAGAGACGGTGGTTGATGAGGACGCAGATGCAGATTTGTTTGTGTGATGAAGGTGGCAGACGATGCAAGAGGACCAGTGGTGAAGTTAGAAGGGAAGTTGTTTTTTCGAAAACACTAGGGTCAGTGACAATGATGCTTTCAGATGTACAAATAAATTAGGCACCTTTGTGGCGATTTTTGGAGCTTGCTTAATAAAAGGGACTGCAAATTGCCTACGTTGCCGAACGGGGTGGAAGGGGGGAGTTACTAGCGAGACGAGAGGAATTTTACAACAGTTTTGAAGTTCCCCTTTCCATCCTGGTCTTGTCGATCCAGATTGTTGTTGATAGCTCTTTGGATCAGCGCTTGATACACTACATATTGTAGAGCTCCAACCTGCAAAACAGTACAATAGGATTATTTCCTTAAACATTCCAATCAACTTCAAATATGCGGATTTATATGCCAAATTCCTGATTGGCTACCTAAATGATCGAGTTATTCGTTGGTCTAAATATAAGTTGCTAACTAACTTAAATTTGCTTTTGCTTCGACTGAAATAGGGACCCAGCACTAGTATTTTTCCAGGTTAAAAAGTACACCAATAACTTAGGAGTCTAAAAAAGATCATCACTTGCATATGCGCTTCCTTAATTTCTTCACAATTGCAGAAGATTCCCACACCACCTAATTATTTAAAAAATGAACTAAATAGTACACTTATTGCCGTTCAAACTGTCGGCGAAATAAAAGCAAATTTTGAATCAGATTGACAACATATGCCACTTTAACGGCTTTAAGCAAAGGTATGAGTATCGAAGTTATCAAGCCAATTTACTCGATAATGTAGTTGGTCTCAAACACCACCTTAATTAATATTGGCTTACACTCGACTAACCAATTAGACGCTCAGGAGCGGTTTGTGTGAATTGACTTCTTATTGCGGTCGTCACATGACCACAGCGGGCAGTCGGAGGATTCGTTTTACCATTGTCGCGTTTGTTGCTTTCGTATAGGCCTTGTTTACTGTTCCTTTGACCTTGCTCATGATTCTTTCGAAGGCAATAATTGAAGAAGTCGGTGCAGCTGTTCCCATCCATCCCTGATAAGTGGGACGCTATTCACTCAATTACAGTCAGGCGCAGTACAACTGACAAAACCGTGTTGGGTGTTAAATCAAGTAGTACGCATCGCGTTGGAGATGTCCCGTCTGGTCATACAGAATCACCCGAGGCTATAGCAGAAGAAGTAATGTGGGTCACGCTTGTTAAGGAGATTGAAATGTTACTCCGTGGAGTCGCTTTCAGCACCGCTATAGTACTGCCTGCTTGAAGAGACCAAAACTAAACCGGCTCTCTGAACGCCTTCAGACTGGAGGTTATCTATCCGGTTAAAGCCCAAATAAGGCCTTTAGATCATCAGTATTGCCACTGTTGGTGTAAAGACGGCACCACCTAAGTTAGTTTTATGGTGGAAGCGACCAGCTACTACTCAACTCATAGGTGACGTAAACAACATGGTAGGTTTCATGTTCCTGAAGAGGTGGGATCGGTAAGTCGCGCACCGAAGGCAGTCAACAGAGACTGCTGTCCTGCTATTGTTACAGGTCATCTAAAAGGCGTAAAAGCTTGGACTAACGAACAGCAATTCCAACATCATAACGATCCAATCAGCTGCAGCAGCTGCTGTCCCATTTACATCTTGTACCCTCCTGATGCCCGTGGCTGGCAGTGAGAGCAATGGTGCTCCAACCACCCACGCAAACCGCTCTATAGCTATTGTAAACTCAGGTCCTCACTCCTCCACCTCACTCTTCCAAACCCCCTACTGTAAGCAGGCTTCCTATCTCTACCCAAGAAACCATAGGCCTTTAACAAACAGGGTTAAGTGGTCCTAAAAAGGACCGTGGAATGTGACGTGGGGGTAAATGTGCTCCTGACCAACTCCATTGCCAGCCCATCCATTTATCTTCAACTGTCGTAGGGCTCAAATCTCGTATAAGTGAAATAGTCTAAGGTGTTCCGTCAACTCATCTGGGCGTTTGTAAAGTCTTTTACAATGATGGCAAAATCTTGACATGTGCTTTTGGAGGCGCTCGTAAGTAAAGCACCAAAAAGGGCAGAAGAGACAATCGTAGAGGAATATACTGCGCTTTGTGTCTTCGCCCCCTTGCACGTCAAGGAAGAGCATTGGAAGACTACACAGGGTTCGGAATTTTCGACGATGTTCCTCATACCCCTTGCAGGATGCGAACAGCCGCCGACAGTAAGGACAACGATGCAGAGAATGCCGTCCCATTCTTCACCTCTTGTCGCGTACTTTGTGTTTTAACCATGCTTCAGCAAGTGCCGCCCGACATATTTATATAGAAGCTTTCAACCAATAGAATGAGAGGCTTGCTTTAAGCAATAGTAGACGTGCGTCTCTGATTGGTTGAAGAGGGTGGGGTGGTAACTGGAGAGCCAATTGGCTGATAACTGAGTTGGCTAGGATGCGAGCTAGCTAGATAGCTAGCTATTGTGTTGACAGGTATGCCGGTAGCACCACTGGTTAGTATGTATTCCACAATTAATTTGCCATGTCTTTCACTGATTATTGAGTGTGACTGCCTCCTATCCCACTAGGTTTGCCCCCCATATTGACCAATCAACTATTTTGGAGAGTTAATCCTAGTTATAGAATAACTGACTGACTAGCCCACCAGCCAACCAACAACCCGTATCTGGCATTACCCCTCCCACAGTAAAACGCCAACGAATATGTCACCGTGTTTACGCTCCTTAGGGGACGTAGATACCAGTACGTGGAGTTTAGAGCTCGTAAGAAGTTGCCACACCTTAACGTCAAATATTAATGACGAGGTTTTGAGGTATGAGGATTTTCGTACTGACTGCAATGAGTAGCGAAAAAGTGGTTCATTTCTCACGATTCTTTTGTGACTTGTAGACCTTTCTTGCCCTCTGCAAATAAAAAACTATTGTCATTGTTCATCAACTCCATTCGCGAATTTGAAGCATCAAAGAGACAGAAGGGCTGAGCAATGAAAACCTTACACTACAGTTAGTAGGGATATAACTACCTTTAGACCGAGATTACGCTACATCTATTTTACCATTTCAAGGTCACTCAATCGCTTTAAGACTGCTGACTTTTAACAATTGCAGCCGCCACTTTACGTGTCACATATGAGTGAGAGAGGCAGAAAACTGGTTTATAAGTAACCCGGAGAAAATATCGGTGTCAAATTGCTGACAGCCTCACGGGATACATACAAACTAGTCCAACTGCTAACAAGATATCCAGGTAGCTAGTTATCTAGCTCGCATCATAGCCAACTCAATTATCAGCCAATTGGCTCTCCAAACACCAACCTACCCCTTCAACCAGAGACGCACGCCTACTTTTGTGCAGAAAAGGCCTTCCATTCTATTTGGGAGCACTCAACCCTGATCATTAAAGAATTGGACAGTAGTGGGAAGCCTGGTTGTGTATGAGAATTGGGGAGAAGGAGTGAGGACAGTGGCGGTGGAGCGATGTGTGAGAGATGCCGGACCACCAATGGTGTCACCGTCAGCCACAGGCAGCAGGTGGATATAGGAAGTATATGGGACAGCAGCAGTTGCATCAGCGGAAGTGGTAGCTGTCGATTGGATCGTCATGATATTAAGTGATGTCAGCCTGCAGTAAATTGCATATAATGCAGATGATCAGTAGCATGGATGGATCCATGAATATGGGACAAATGGATGGAATCAGAATGGATGTTTACAGGATGGATGGGTAAATGGTTGGGAACCCATCTCCTCTCCAGGACGCACTATACGACCCTTTTTGGGGATCCTCCACCCCGATTGTTAAAAACCCTTTGTGTGATGGGTAGTAATGAGGTTTCCGCATGTGTTGAGGGGATAGGGGCTCGATTGCGAAATGCATTTACAATAAAAATGGATTTACGATGAAAAATGAAATTAACCATCTGATAAGTTATCCAAATTACTAGACTGGTAATTAATTGTCTACACCAAAGCATGAATGAGGAGAGGAATTGCGAAGTTGTTAGAAAGCCAGACAGTTACCTGAATAGATGATTCGCCAATTTGTTTGTTATTGAAGGAGTCCAATCAGCATTGGCATCATTATGCGGATAGTTGACCGCCCCATCAGCTAAATCACTACTTTTCTTTGGGGCAAAGCACCTTGTGAAATCTGAAGCAAAATAAAGACAGTCAACCGACCAGCTCGAGGCCGTAAAAGTAACTCGCCAAATAATGACCTCACAAACAAACATCTAGATCAGCAGCTCGTGACCCCACTAATTCACACCCCCATTAAAGAGGAATCAAACTAACCCACCAACTTTTCGATCTTAGCCCTACGTCACGCAGACCATAGATGACCTAACGACCCGACCAACTTTCCTCTTCCTCCATGCGATATCAATACCCTTTCCGTGGACGATTTCATCCATCCACCAGACATGCACTGTTTTAGCGCCTTCAGTTAGAAACGCGCGCCTCAACAGCAATTAAAAAGCAACCCAGTGCTACTCGACGAAATAAGCAGTATTGGATTGACTAGAGTTAAATGTCCTAGTGATTTCAACTTTTTAACTTAAAATAACGAAAAATCGAAAAGGAAATTGCTTATGTATAAAATTTATTCCTGACAATATGGCAGATCTGTGGATACTAGTCTTTTATTCACCGACATGCGTAATGCATTAACAATGGAAGTCCAGTTAGGGGAGATGAACGGAGGAGTGGGCTTCACAATTGACGATGAGGAATTTACACATTGCTACGGGATGTTCTGCTAGCAGCAGCGTTTTGGATAGAACGTGCACGTTGTTTCTGGTTGCCGGGATGGTTGTGTTTCTCGTTCTGTTGACTACCTCTGACAGCCGTGAAACGACGTGATGAAGTGGGCCTGAGTGGAGCTGAATTCGCAGTGGCGGTGGAGTGATTTGCGGGGGAGGTTCGAGAACCACTGATGCCAGCGCCGATGACAGGAGGATGGGTGTGGAAAGTAGGTACAGGAGTAGCAGCAGTAGTGGCGGCTGCCGATTGGATCATCTTGATGTTAGTATTGACATTTGCTAGTCGCAGCTTGTACGCCTTGTAGGTGACCTGTGACAATAGCAAGACAATCACCTCTGTTGATCGCCGCCAATGACCCACAATTTCCACCACTTAAAGAGCACGAAATCCACCATGTAGTTTATATTACCTAGGAATTGAGCAGTAGTTCGAAATGATAAAAGTGATGTCCTGAGAGAGAGATTGGCAATATTGACGGGGTTTGGGCCTTATCTTGATATGCAAAGTAATTGTTAACACCTCGATGTGGTTTCGGTTAACACAGATACGAAATGTCGTCAGAGGAGCGGGGGTGGTATAAGCCACGTCCCCAGCTGAACGTTAGTACAGCACGTGAGGGAAGTAATGATGAGTCTACTGCGTGATGGCCCATGGCATTCTAGGCATTCATCCGGGTCACGACCCGAAAATTCATGATGATCCATTCATTCAGTCTAGTTTGCCAAATTTAAAATTCTATGACCCAACTGATAAGGGGTAAAAATTGGCAACTTTCAGTTATCCACTAATAAGTTTCAATCACCCAAAAAGACGTCTAGAAATCAAGTGTCAAAAGCCCAATCAACTGTGACTACTATTCAGGCCAAGGAGAAGTGAAGGAAGGGATGATCAACTCATTTAAGATAGCCACAAAAAGGCTGCAGTGAATACGCCTCGGCGCATAAATGGAACTAATGCCTCGACGTACGTTCTATATCGGCACTAAATTGCCGTCTTTAAGGGAAATGAAAAATAGGTTATCTAGCAATTAGACTACTCTGGAAAGAAAGTATTAAGCAAATTCTGGGATTTTCGATCACATTATCTATGATGCCTCACCATGTTACAACAATACCCACCACCCTCTTAAGTATTTCGTTTTCAGAAGCCACAGCTCTTCCCGAGGATCTGAGTAAACTCTAAGTTTATGAATGGCACTCACAAACCTTCAAAAAAGCTATCTTTTCATGCAGCCGTTTTTGCTCTTCCAGCAGGTACTGCACCCTGAGATTTCCATCCAGCTCCGACACCATCCTCTCAGCCGGCGACGCCGACGGTTCGGACCTCAGTGGCGTCTCATTGGTGCTAGGACGAACTTTATCACCACGACGATGACGAGGACGTGACTGAGGGCTCTCGGGTGGCGAAAAAAGGCACGATGTCACGTCCCCGTCAGGATCGTCAAAGAGACGACGAGTAGAGTTGTTGTTACTGTATCGTCTTTGTCGCTGTGATCGATGCTGCGATAAGGCAGAGATACGCACCGCACTGGTAAATCGATTGGCCAGACTGGACACCACGTTCACTGATCCGGTTGGACCAGCGTCCTCGCCTGCGCCATGATGCCTCCGACTGCTTGTTTTGATGGCAGAGGCTATATCGTTAGCATTAATTTCTGAAAGGACTTTGCGCTGCTTCGAGCCACCGGTAGGTGAGATGTTCACATGGGGCAAATTGAGACCGGACAGGTTGTGCACGGAAGCGGAGGTGGAGGGACTATCCACCCCTGGGGAGGAAAGATCGGTGTTGGGGACGTTGACCGTTCTCTGAGGTACGCTGGGCACCTTGAATTCACTGCCACTGACATTCAAAGAGGCCCGAGGTTCTGGTAAGGCCTGGTAGATGGTCTCTGTTTTCACTGGGGTCTGCTCGTTTCCAATCGCGAGCGATTCACCGGGTTTTACTGCAAACATTAACGAATGTAGAGAAGCAACTGGTAACTAAAGTGGAAAGCTAAATCTACCACTTCATGGGCAAACAAAGAAGGTAGGTTGTTGCATCATTCAAAGGGAGGTGACTCAAGATACTCTAAACCAGCTAAACGTCACGTATTACAGCCACGTCTACTAAAAGACCAAAGTGTTATGCCGAAGATATTACTTCTAACGCAACACAAGAGTTCCCGACTTACCATTCTGACCGCTTGACTTCTTGGACTTGGCTTCCACTACCCGAAGGCGAAATTGGGCATCTAATGGATGTTCCCAAATGCAGATACCGGAACACTTTTGTTGATAGAAAACTGATCCTTTTCGATTCTAGTAGCAAAGATAAAGAACAGTGAAAGCTAACAACCCGATCCCCTATATTAGCAGTAAGAACAGATACAAGGACAAATTTAAAGTTTGCATATGTAATGAAAAAAATTCAACAATCATTTGAAAATGGTAGGGTACGGCAAGTCTTGAAAAACCAAGGAAATCGAAGATCAGGCACCTGCAGAACTATCCAGCCCTTAGGAACTGGAGCGGAAAGACCTTCGCGCGCAATGTGTAATAAATCTGCCTCTTTATCGGGGTCAATGCCAATGTCCCATGCATACATCCGGACTTCTTCATCAGTTGGATCAAGGTTCTCAACTTCCTCAAGAATGGTACAATTACGTAAATAACTTCCCACAGGATCAGAAGAATCAGAATCCGCCATTATCGGAAGTAATGCAGGCCCAATGTCTTAAACACGGATAAAAATCCTCAAAAGTGCCAGAACGCGACAAATCAAGTGACGTTGATGCATACAAACAAAGTTCTAATTAAAAATAGGCAAAGTAATTAATCCCATAATAGGCAAAATCATTTTTAAACTAAGTTGTTAGGATTTTTGGCTTTTGGAGCGCTACAACTACTACAATGGTGAATGAAAGCACTATTGACCTCTAATTTACAGCTATTGTGATCTAACTCACCCCTCAAAAACTTTATCAAAGCCCTTGCCTGCCATAAGAAGTGTTGCCTTTGTTTCAAGAGCGTGATTATCACGAAAAAGACAGCAAAACGCAAAAATTGAAAATTTCGACTCCGTCCCCATGCCACCCAGCAGATAGACAATAGTGGAACTCTAATTGTTATTTTGAAATATCAAAAAAGATGACCAAACGATTATAATCTAGCACAGTTTTCTCATTCTATGTGCACTTGCATAGCATTCCAAGTCATTCAAAAAGGCTCTGCGGCCACTGGTACTGCTTGGAGGTCATGGTGCCCAGAATAAGCCTATCCGCGAAGCTTTAAGTAGCAGAATTGGCATTGTGCGAGACAGAATAAACTCCCATAGCTATTAAATTTTATTGCCAAGAATTGGGCCTCAGTAAACGAGCAACCCTTTCGCAAAATGAAGGATAAAACTGTCCGATGATGATAAATATCTTGTACATTTGCACCTACTTTTTGCGTATTTTTCAGCTCTAAGTGTGTGTGGAAATTTGGTGTCCGTATGAGCACTCTAAGCAATTATAAAAGGTTTAGCGTAAGCTAAACTGAGCTTGAAGTCAACAAGTTTTCTACCACTCTTGATAAAACAATTTGGGATTATGCCATGATCAAAATAGCTTCATGTAAACTTTCAATGCACAAACACCAGTAAACAGGCTTAACCGAAATATTGTGGTACACTTATTCATTTGCATTGTTTTATTGAGTGCTGCTCTAGTTGACGATAATACATTGTCGCCGGGATGCCTATCACTACTGCACCAAGGCTTGCCAACGGACAGGTACCACATTCATGTTTTAATGTTTTTAAGTGGCAAAAAACATTTCCTTTGCAAATGAATACGGAGACTTTGTCCCTTGTTTTTGTGAAGAAGCTGTTTGCTGTGGCTGTCTCAAATGTTGCATTCGTCCGGAAACTCTTCCCTGATAACGCGTTCTTTGATAAAAACATTGAAGGTTTACCGCATTCTTATCTATATCTTTAAGGAATAAGCTTAAAAATTTTAAAAGAGGAAGCGTCATGTCCAGGAACTTGCAAGGTTGTTTTTTGGCTCCGCGGATGCTTTGATGCAATTGAAAGGCGATACGTAGTATTTTTATCATATTTATCGTTTTAGCTACGGAAAGCTACACTTGTTCTTTATGAAAATCCAGGTGATCCTAAGGTTTGTCTTATTTTAATTTCGATTTCAATTTAGACCATAATGGAGTCATTCTCATTCACATTTCGATACGATAGCAAGGAAGGCGCTTCCATGGAGATGGAAGCAGAGCCCATAAGGTACACTATTGCGTTTTTTGAAGGTACATTAGTTCTGCAAAGTTTGCGTCTACCCTCCCCAGAGATGAGAGAGTAAAAGTGCAGACGAAAAATTTACTTAATGCTATTTTGGCTGCTGGGAAAATGCTAGGACCTCTCCCTAAGAAAATGATGCTGACTATGAAACTACAGTATTACAATTGTAAGCTTTGGTTTTTGTTCGTTGTGTTTTAAGTTAAATATTTTAAAGGCCATTAATCATTTAGGTTTACTCAAGTTTGACTTGTACTTTTGCTGTCTCTTAGTGATATGTTCTAACCTATCGTTAAATCAGATTCTCACAAGGGAGGCATTGGTATGGATCCGAATGTGCTCCATCGGACTTTGTAGCGTAACAAAATTTGTTTAAAAATTAAGTGGGGAGTGTTTTTGCGGTAGCACCATTTTTTGTCAAAAGTTCACACTCAAATTAGCTAGATCGATGTGCCACGAACCTGTTTGCCTATTTTTTCTTGTGTTTTGTGTAATGTCAGCCTAGATTTTTATTTTTTTTTAAGCTGCTCCTAGTGATTACATGCCAAATGGCTTTAGAATTGACGAGAACCCAGAAATGGTCTTTCAGAGTGATCCTGTTAACCTCAAGATTGGTTCAATCGACACGGTAAGTACACTGCCTTTTTTACCCCCTTTAGGACTTTCACAGTGTACGCATGCTTCTTCATACTGTCCCAGGCCTGATAATCGCTCCCCCCGAGAAGCTAAGGTCTGCTATGGAGGTGATAAGGGTGAGGCTTACCCTTCCTTCAATTAAGTAATTTGAAAATGTATTCTGATGTAACTTAATTAACTTTCCTCTCTACTTAGTCCAAAGCAAAGTCACAACCCTCGCATGTTATCACAATAAAGAGTTCAAATATTTGCCATACACCCCGTTCAAGTTACCAGCCGACGCAGTCAGAGACAGAGGAGCAAGTGGAGGAGGAATTCGAGGTTGTTTGCCCCTGTGGCGTCAACTTGGTAGGCTATTTCCGTTGTTTTATCTTATTAAATGCATTCAGGATGATGGGGTCATGATTCTCTGCGATGGTTGTGAGAAGTGGCAACACGCTGTCTGTTTCCGCATAATTGACGACGCTGACATTCCTCAGTCGCATTTGTGCAATGTCTGTGCCAAAGTTAAGGTCAGCCTACTTCTTTCTGTGACTCATTTTACCCCGAATCTTTTCCTTGATTATTCTGATATTTTGATATCCCACCTTTTAGCCCCATCTGCTCGAAGCAGGCAGTAAGACGGATCCAACTCTTTCAGAGTTGACTGAGGAGCAGGCCAAAGTACTGGACATTTAGATTAATAGTTTTCTCATAAAAATGAAACCTTTGATGGCTTGTATTTCCGCGTTTCCATTTCTTTTTAGTCTATTTGCCTCCTTCGCCGTGCTATCTTGTTGTGCATCGAAAATGACGTTCTCTCAGTTGGCGTAATTGCGAAGAGACTATCGGTTGAGGTGAATGTGGCAAAGGGCCTCCTCAACAAATTGTTGGATGAGGGTGCTTTAAAAGATTCGCGTGGAAGGAAGTAGGTTTGTTTCATGGCGATCTTGCTTTTCTCAATTCTTCCTTCTTTACTGAACGCTTGTGCGTTTTTCTCGCTTAAAGCGGAAATAAGGCCGTTCTTAAGGCGCATGTTGAGGCTGTTCTCGTACCTCGCTTCTTCTCGCCTGCATCTGCGTCGTCTGAACTGCAGGTAATTGCCATCGTTAGCTTACATTTTTGCGGTATTCCTATTATTAACTGTTTTACTTCTTGATTTTAAAGAATGGTGATTTAGGTCGGTCGGAAAACGGTGCTATATCGGCGAAGGGAAAACGTGGGAAACATATAGACGTAAGCAAAAAAAATTGACGGAAAATTTTGCTTTAAGTGACATTTGTGCTTTTCACTCTTTTACAATTACCTCATCTTTAGGTTGACGGTCTCACTTCTGCTGCAGAAGAGTTACAAATCACAAATAATGTAGGTGTACGATAACCATTACGAGAATCGCATTTTTGAGGGTTCATTTCGATCAAGGTTTACTTTAATTAGACTGTACTGAATATTGTGTTTCCATTTACCTCTATGCCTTTGGAACAAGGAAGTGTGGGACGTTATATTTATGTCTATTCTGATTATTTTATCATCTTGCATCCTCAATCTGTAGGACTTGTTTTATTCAGATACTGAGTCAGGATTCCACGGATTCCCCCATACCCAGCAAAAGACGACGAAGCTACAACACAGTGAACACGCCGATTGTAATTGCGCCCCGATGAAGCAAAGCGTCTATTTTTCTACCTTTTCCCATTTGTCGAGTTACTTTTGTAACTTTTTTAAATTGTTTTTATTTGTTAGTTTACTCTTCCTCTGTTGTTGGCATCATTTCTGCTGCATATTGTCTCATTGACTTTTGATAAAATCTCTTCAAAGTTAAAACTGAGCTTTTGGAAAATTTTGGAGCAGCTGGTCGTCTGTTGTTTTCGCAAAACCGGTTCTCAGAACACTTGGTACCTTTAATCCGTGAAGGAGATGCCAAATTGAATGGATTTGGCTTGCTTCGATTGTTGCTTTCTTATGGAGTATCCTCCCAAGTGAGACGTACTTTTCGGTGGATGTTGGTGAGGGTTTATGCCTCCAATTTAGGCACGTCTGAAATTCGCGTTCGTGTTTTTGATCCACAGTACTAAAAGGTGCCTTGAGGCTAAACCCTGCGCTCGACGTTGATATTACATTTTCCAGGAATTGTTTCCACAAATAAACTGTCTCTTAATTAAAATTTTTCCCCATTATTTCTTGGTAATTTTAGTGCTAAGGAATAAGCACTAGGTCATTTTTCCCTCTAAAATGTATGAGGTAGGCAAGTTATAGTGATATTTAGGCAATTGTGCTCCATACTTAGAGTTCTTATAATTTTCCAGATTACATTTATTGTGAGAAGAGCCAGTTCCATGTGAGTACAAAGTTGCATCACACGTTACTTTCGCTATCATCCGATCGGACACACCATGATCTGTCACCAAGGCTTCGTTCTCGGTCTAATGTGTCAAAACGGCGGAATGAGCAGGCTAAATTGGACATTTTATAAGTTTTTTGCTCAATACACCATTCACGTGTACCCACCAGGCAGTTTAAGCGGTTTTAATTACTGAGTATGTAGCTATGGTCGATTTTTTGTGTGAAGTTTTGTGTTCTAGTCTTTGCTTAGAAAGAAATTGACAACTACCTTTTGAGGTCACGTGTAATTTCAAAATAGACACTTACGTCGTGCTATCAGGGTGGTGACTAGAGTTTCAAGCCAATAAGCTGCACCAGTGGCAGGTAATTAACCTTATTTCTCATAATCCTCTTCTTGCATAAGCTCCATTCGGATAACCAGTCATTTTATTTTTGCTTTAATGGTCGCAGAGCTTGGTGTAGGGCTATATGTTGGGAATTTCTACTTCTTGACAGAATTGACGAGTAGTGATGGGAAATCGAGATGCCTTGCATTTCGGTACATGGGAACTCACTCTCTAGCATTTTGCCCATAAAGTTTCCCTTTTTCATATCCATGTCTGGCTAACAGAGGCAAATTTTCAAATGTGAAAAGTCGATTTCTTTTCGCCCAATTGCATCGGGGGTACTCCACGCTAAATTACATGAGGCTCAAATGTAGTGCACTGCATGTTTATTTGCCTGTCAGTTTACACGATCCTCGTAGTGGAGTGGACGTCATTGCTCTTCACCTCCCAAAGAGGAAGCGCACGCTGAACACGCCTAACCGTGTGATACCTCTGTACCTCCTTCACTCCACTACCCAGTAACGGCTGTCCTCATCTAAGCCGTTTGTTCCTGCTGAGGGTATGGAGGCCGGGGTGTAAGAAAGAAGCACCGAACCCTGCGGTCTTCCACCTGCGCTTTTATGTCCCTATTGATTTTTGTCTTTAAGAGCAATGCTCGGGACAAAAAATCGATGCGTGTGATGTACACGCCAAGGTGATTGAAGGTCAAAACCAAATTGTCCCACTAAAGGTGACTCAAATGCTAGGAGCTGGCCTTTAAGAGGCGTAACCAGAGCGCAGAATAAAATCAAGCACATGATACTTCTGCGGTGTCAACTTTTTCCCCAATTGCTAAATTGTAGATTGCTATTTAAGTAATCAACAACGTAACTGAAAATTTTGTACGTGCCACAACAGTTTGTCCAGCTCTGCGTTTAGTTTGGCGGGGCGCTTAAATATTCATGGGCTGTACTTTTGCTAGTTGGTTTGACCTTATGGGCATGCCAGTAGCCTCTCAAGACTTCTGCCATACTACTGTGACTTTACGACTTCAGAGGAGACTTCGGGTGCTACGCTATATCAATTCAAGTAATTTTATTTACGATGTTCTTTAGTGCCTTGAGGTTTGCCTAAAGACAAAGGAAGGTAGAAAGCTAGGGCAGAGTATGTGTTGCCGACGTGGAGAAGGGCTGTGCCAATAACGTGGCTTGGAGGCCATGCCGCCTAACGGAAGTACAGAGAGGCACAGCCTTATGTGCCCACAAAACCAAAACGAGGAGTTAAACAACCAAAATAGGCGGAAATAGCTTAGTTCCATGCGTTTATAGGCTGGTACAATGGACCAATCTAGTGGACATGTGCCTGTGTAAGGCAATAAAAGTAAGCAATAACTTGTTGAACCAATTTGAGGGTGCTTCAAGCTTCCAAATTTTGAAGTTGGGCCTTAAGAAGAAAACACCTGTAAAACTGCGACGGAGGGCCTCTCATCTTGACAGATCTGACTGCACCCTCCTCCAATTTTTCTGGCCTCACTTTCCAATTTACCAGTCTGACAATCTCCACGACACCGTAACCCCAATGCTTCGCTGTTTAGGTGTACCCTGTTATGGCTAGAGAGGATACCCGGGACAGTAAACCGCCAAAATTCGATGACATCTCGAGCAGTCAACGCATCTGCAGGTCTCTGAAGCAGCGAATTTAGCGTTTCTCGACCCTAAAACATGGTAGACGGTCTCACTAGGGAGTCCGGACTGTTGATCCAACGACTCGGTGAGGAGAGATAACTCCTCAATCAGTCTTTTTGGGTGAAAGACAACTCCATTTCACGTTTATTTGCGCTCCGAAACTGTTATTGTCGCCCACCGGTTATCTGACCAAAACAGTCCTCCTGTTTTGACCCACAGAGTTAAGGTAAAGTCAGTTTCTTTTTCTTCCAGTTCAGTTCAAGTGTAGTGCTTAAACAGGTACCAAGCTTCCAAAGAGACGAGTAGTTTAGCTTCCTTTGAGTAGACTAAAAGCACGACAACTCCAACCTCGATTGAACAATAGTTGTGGGACTTGGTAACTGGTTTCCTTCCTCTCTCAGCAAAGCAAAGTAAGAGAACCCACCACATTGAGGAAGGGAAGGAGTCCAGCCTCGGCTAGAGGGGTCGTGACATTCTGTAGTAACATAAGCAGGCCTGGAAACATCCGAGGCAGAGTTCTGCCACAGCAAACAGTCCTCAAACGTAAAACAGAACAAGGACCGCGACCTCGGGCTTGTTCTTCTGAATGGGAACTAGCTAATTGAGCAAAGTGGATGGCCATGGCGAGCAATCGGACAGAACTGTTGCAAGATGGAAAACGATCAAAATGAATCCCCAAGAAGGGCCAATTCACGAGACAATGCTACCAGTCAACATACTTACAAGAGCTGAACGAGAAAAAAACCCACTTTCCAAGACTTTTATCCTCCCTGAGCTATGCTACATGGGCAAGACACCAATGTCGGTCTGGTATTATGGTGTGAAGTACATAAAAGATCACTTTATTCAAGGCGATTCAGTAACTAATGCTCTGCAGGTGACATATCTGTAAACCCAACACCATCGACGGCAAAACTATGCAATCAATCAGCGGAATATTCAACAACTCTCTAAACAATATACAAGCTGCACTTCACTTGGCAATGGCCGGACTCAGCACCGGCATATTGGCCTGGAATCCCGCCAATCCCTGAGTGCCCGCTCCACCCGGTCCGAGCATCATCGATCGGTGCTCCGAGGCCTCCTGCTCCTCCATCTGGTTGCGTTCTAGCTCCAACATTAGTGGCAGCATACATACCGTCATAACGGAGGCAGCAAACCACGCAGAAGAGCGCGACAGCGAATAGGCGCCGCGCACCATCACCACTGTTCCATCAAGTGCAGAAGCTGCCGCAGAGCGCAGCCACTCAGGAAACATCTCAGTGAGACCGAGAAGACGCTCCGCTAGTGTCTCATCCTCGAAATCTGAATCGTCATCATCGTCTGTGTCGCCTTGGGTCACCTCGTCAATGATAAGGGTTTGGATAGCAGGGGGTGCGACGAGAGGTGGAGAGGAGGACGACAGAGCTGGTGGAATAACTTCTATTTCCGGTGACGTCTCCTCTGATAGTATTTGTTGCGGTCCTAGTTGTGGTAAGAGCAGTGGTGGTGGCGGTGCCGGTTCTGGTGCTGGTGCTGATGCCGATGCTGCTGACGCGTCTTCGTCAGTCGAAACATCAACCTGGAGAAATCACACGGAAAAAAAGGATGACTTTAGCCCCATCACAGTTGAAGGCTTTGGAATGTTTGATCCCCTTCACCCGAAATGCAATGAATGAAATACGTTTGAAGAAGAAAAATACATTTCTTTATGACAATAATGTCGAAGGATGCTATTTTCCTCCTCATAGGATGAAAAAGATGAGAGAATGTCGCATTTCACTGCCGTGCCGATTTAAAAGAGCGCATCAAATGCCTTGAAAAAAATCGATGGCAGTCAAACCAAAAATAGATATTTTTAGGGAGGCCTGCAAATATTGGTTTTAGAAGGAATGAGGCAGTTTTTGGGCAACAAATGTGCAGCACTTAACTTTAGTAAAAACGAGTAAATGACTGTTTATAATACATAATGAACTCCCTAGAAAGGAGAATCCCACAGGATGGTGAATAAAATATTCCTTGAAAAGCTTGAATGTCTACATTGAACATATAGCACAAATAAAAGAGCACCCACGGAAGTAAGCACCTGGAGTCCCATAAAATATTTCAGAAACCTTGCTACGGTATTTTTTCAGTAAAATATATGGTTTTTCAATGCATCAGACCGCATATTCTCCAAGTCAATTTTCTGCGAAGAATTTGGGTGTTGTGTGGTGCTTCATAGCAGATATTCAATAGGGTTTTCATAAACTTAGGAACGAAATCTTACTAATAATTAAGGCCAACAATTTGTTATGACCATTGTTCCAAGGATTAACGCCTATCGGTGGAAAAAAGGGTGCGGTTTAGGAAGGACGAGACGTGAACAGGGAAATCAAACTACGGAAAATAGGTTGTTAAATCGAGCATGCAGTGTGTAAGACATTGCTGTGTATTAAAACAGGTAGAGGAAACAGCATATCTACCTGAATAAAGTCCTCGCAGTTCCTTTCGGCACACATGACAGCTGGGGAAATTGTAAACAGAGGAGTCAACCAATCAGCATATCATCTCGATGTTTCGGGCAAATAGACATCTTTAAGTAGGTTTTGAAGCGTTTAGAAAATGAGACGATGGACTATTCTAATCTAGATTGCGTGATTTTATAAGTATGGAGATTATGTGAGCATGAAATACTGCCTCCACACATTTTGAGAGAAGGCGAAGAAATTCCAATGCATGCACATTCATTTAGTCTTAAAATAATGTATAATAAAAACACACAAAAGCTTAACAATACTCTGCCGTGACAGCAAGTGCGGCTTTACAGTGCGTAGTCCATTGCAAGCCGATTCCAATTTCGAGTATTTTCATGGTAGATTCTACTCCCTTACTACTTTAAGCGCAGTTGATGTGTCTAGGTATTTCACAGCTTACACTAAATTACTATTTGTAGTAGCAGAGTTCTGCACTTAAAATCAAAAATTGAATTAATCTTTCGCCTAACACCCTTTAACTTTTGCATAAACCTCACGGAAAGCCAGTATTATTTAGTAATAAATGACTTTCTAACTGCAGGTCAAAGCTGGGTGAGTTTATTTATAAAACATTTTGGATTCCTTCATTTATTTTCTAGGCACATATTCATTTTCACAACGTAACAAAACTGTAATGGGCCACAAATTTAGGTTTTTTGTTAGCCAGCAGTGAGCAAGGACTTATTTGCAATCAATATAAGTATTTTAATTAATAGCAGTGTGCTACTTTATACTGTAAATTCATATGCCGCAAAGTGATTTAGAACTCAACTGTTACCTGTGGTTGAATAATTTGAAATCAAGGCATTGTAGTTTGCTAATAATTGTTTAGTTTTGAGCATTTTTCAGCAGTGTAAGTCCATCTACGTACGGTCAAATTGCTCACACGGTAATTACGCGAATGACCTACAAATGGAGCTATTGTAAATACAAGGATATTACTGGCCATCACCTTCGCGCGCACCTTTCAAATGACCCGCTTAAACCTACGCAATCTCTTTCATTGACATTCCAGTGAAGGTATGCAGTCGCGGAAGCCTACTCGTGTTTGGGTCGATGGGTGGTAACTTTCGTGTCAGAACGCCTTTTCTCTAGCTTTGATATGGTGCATTTCGGGCATGCCAATCTCGTTCGACAGGTTTGGCCGTTCCACTAATAGCAGTTCCTAGGCCAAGTGTTTGGGTGACTATCTCATTGCAGGCATCCACAGTGATGGTAAATTGACCATTTCGTTACGAATTTCAGAGGAAATCACGAGGCACAAGGGACCGCCTGTGTTCACCCAGGAAGAGCGCTATATTCTATTAAAGGCCATTAAATGGGTTGATGAGGTGGGATTTTACTCTTTAAGATCAGTGAATCACCCACTTGTTTATTGTAGGTCGTCAAGGATGCCCCTTACATGACACAATTGGAGGTCCTACAGGGCCATAACTGTGACTTCTGCGTTCACGGAAGTAGGCTTGATGAGCTTTTGAAATAAACTAGACTTTGTTTTATCAGTTTTGTCTTGATGGTCCAAATATGTCATGAGATGCCACCCTGATCAAACTGTAATCAAAAATTGTTTTTTACACCTAGATGACATCTCTGTCACTGAGGATGGATCTGATGCCTACGAGATCGTTAAAAAAGCCGGAAAATATGCGTAAATTGTTGCTTCAACGCATTTTTTAGAACTATCTTTGTTGTTTTATATTTCGGCGGTTTGGAACTTGAAGTTCGCACATCAAAGTAGCTAATTGACAATAGTGCCAATCGTTGGAACCAGATCTATTTAGAAGATACATTGACAACTAAAATTACCTGTTTTCAATAAGGCGTGTATAGTTGATAAATTTGTTTCGGTTGCCACACTTTCGTTCTTTATCGTCTCCTACCCTTTACATTCTGCAGGGAGGTTAGCCGAACTGAAGGCATATCAACAACCGATCTTTTATACCGGTGAGTCGCTCGTTTTTTTTGGGATATCAATGGCACTTGTATTATTCCTTCTTAACTATCTTTGACGTTTGAAAACTTGATCATAACATTAATGGTTGTGCGTTTGTTGTCAAGGCTCATTCACTTCCACTCCATCTATCGTTATGGGTAGACGTCTTTCACGAATGGCTTATTTCTTGGGATCGTTTGGTATTTGGTAGCATAACTCTTTTGAAGCTGATTACCACTTTACTGTGGCTGCTAGGTAACCACGTTGACACCTTCACCGATGGTACTTCGGGGGTAGAAGGTAACCCCCTACGGACCGGACATTTTGCTGTTCTAAGAATGGCAATAAGTCCACTATCGAATGCTCCAATCTAACCACTGTTGGAAACCCAACAAAAATGTTGTCGTCCTTGCAATCAAATCCTTCCGCGTCTACTTTGGTGTGTTCAACTACTAGTCTCCTTTCGACTGGATCTTTTGTAACCAGTTGGCACAAACTGACCAAGAGCATGTCATGTTCGTAAAATTTGGTTCAGGAAGGAAGATTGAGAAGTTGTATGCACATTATTCACTAATTTTTGGCCTTTCTTCATCTTTCTCCCTTAGAATTCTACGAGCAACCAGACACTTTAAGGCAAGGAACTCGAATATGGAAAACGGCTCTGGTGTAAGTCTTTAACCAACGATTTCTCCTCAAAGCAGCTCTCATGGCTTGTTTATGCCGTTTGTTTTGTCTATGCTTACTCGGCATTCGTACAATTTACTCCCCTCCCACCTCTCCCTCTATGACTTTTCGATGTACTTTTACTCCCAAGTTGGTTAACATAACAGCGATCAAAACATGACCTCTTATTACTTTAACCATTTGGTGATGCAGTTACTTCTGAATTCGCATTTAATAGTACGGAATTCCAGACGTGTAGGAGGCATTGTCAGAGTAAACAGAACGTTATCGCTGACAGTGCTGTAACCTAAATAGACAATCAGAGTTTTATTTTAAGACTTACTGTTTTTTTTCCTGTTATACCTTTTAAATCACTCACGAGGTAAGAATGGATCTGAGAATCCAACAAGAAGGCCACCAAGTTTGATAGTAGTGATGTGATTGCATTTGTATCCTAGCTGTTCTTCCTAGATCATGAGCGGCTTCCCAAAACGTATCATATTTTCTAGATCCGCTCAATATTCGCTTTTATGTGTAAAATAATATTTAGAGGGGTAATTCTCAACTGTGGATCCAACTAAATTTTCTTCCATCACTAAATAGAGTATTAACTGATGGTGCGATTCATGATCGCCGGAAGTAGTTTTATCTGAAATACCTATCATGACAGTGGGTAGCATCTACTCACTTCACTAGCCAGTAGTATGCCGGACTTCAATTTTGTTTTTTCCCCATTCTAGGACTCGGAGACGTCTCCCATCTCCACTTACACATCAGGCATCACGCACTACATGCCCAACGCTCTGCGTGTAGCTCAATTCATGTCACCAGGCAGTGGCACCGCGGTTGGCGACAGCTCGTCCTTGGAAGGAATCCGAGCCCACAGGGCCGGCGAGCGCGTGGTCTATGCTCCCGGCGCGTTTGACCTCATGCGTATCCTTTGTTGTTTATCCCCTACCCATCACTGCCTACAGCAAGTGATGTTTCATTCATATTGGGGCTCTTAGGGCGCAAAAGATAAGAAGAGGTTTTAGGATGTGTTGTAAGTCGAAATTCTTTCCCATACAATCTCCCTGAACAGTTTACTTCACTCTAATCGGCGCTGAAATGCTGGCCAAGGTGACAAAAAGTGAGAACTACTCAAGCCCACCCGTATATTGCTACACACAATGATGCGATACAGAAAATTGCGGCCTTCTCTGTCGAACTGCTTCTTCAATTCTAAAGTAGTCAAGGACGGACGACTTTTTTGGTGTCCATCGTTTTGCATTTGCAAACTTTCATGAGCTATTTTGTTCACAGTTCCCTCAATTCCGATGCAGATGCGTCCGCCAAACCAGAAATTCACGCTCAGAATCCTCATTTGACGTGCCGCCATAGTTACTTGTATTCGTCCTACCACGCACTATCATTATTGTCTACATTTTGATTAACGCTGTCTGAATTGCCTTGTTGTTAAGTCGACTGCCAGCAATAGCACACGCCTGTTGCTTACTTCCTCTAGGTATGCAGGATCCGAAGTCCCGGTTTGACTTAAGTGACCATTTTTTCCACTAGTAACCGTTTTTTTATCCTTGACTGCCGTTTACACCTTGCACAGATGTCGGTCATGTGAAATTTCTCGAGAAGTGTCGCCAGTTGGGCACCTACCTCATTGTTGGTCTTCACTCAGATAAGGTGGGTTATTTTTTCCTCTTTTGTTTCATTGGAATGTCTGCTTGATTCAGTACGCTAGTGCAACACAATTCTCAACCCTATTATGTCGATTCCCGCGTGAATTCAGCAAACAGGGACGTTTTAGTTTGCAATTTGTGACCAGTCCCGGTTCGGTGGGTAGGCTTCTTGGCAAGTCTTTCAACAACGCTGGTAACAGTAGCCTTAGTGTTCAAGCCACGTTTGCAGCCAGCCATTCCTAGATCCAGTAGGTGGACAAAACACACGCGAAGCCTTCTCGGTTTAAAACTAGAATGCCATCTCCAATGCCTTGACGTCTCGGTCATAAGATCTTGCCTCAAACTCGTAGGAAAGGTGCTTACTTCTAAACCGTTTCACTTGCAAACTAAATCGGGGTTAGTCATTTCCGCAAGTTTATGTTGTGGCGTCGTAAAGGCTGTGAATCTGCGCGCTTGTCACCATGCGCATAACATTGTGGCGTACCCTCAAGGGCCGACGTCGGCCTTCTCGTGGGGCTTGGTGAAGTGTGTTTATGGATGTGTATGTATACTTAATTAAGCACACGGCAATAATTTCTCATCGCTAAAATGGGTGTGCACGGTGGATGACGCCATACGTCCATGTAAATCTATTCCGTGTGATCAGCAGTGGTAATTGTCGAAGTTGTTTAGTGCTTTTGTGTGCTATAAGGCTTGGTGAGAAAAGCCAAGGGGACGTAACGCGGATCTCACTGATTCTCCCCCATTTTCGTCAGTGGTAGCGCTTTGAACCTGCCCTTGACGTTCTCGGTTTGATGAGGCGGTTTCTTTCTTGCTACAGAGTATGCACTCTATCTGGAGATAGAAGAATCTGGCACCACGTAAGTACAGCATTGCTATCGTTCGTGTTGGATACGAAGCTCTTACATGCTTGAAGGCACGCCTCGGTTTCCCTTCTCGGCAAGCACCTCAGCTTTTAGGACTCATTAGAGACTATTATGAATCGTAGGTGAGGTGGCCATATGGATTCGTGGGGGTATCATATTTATTCATTTAACCACCATGACAATCGATCATTCTTTTTCAAGATAAAGCTTGTTGGAGGTGTCACTTGAAATGCTCTGGCTCCGGAATCAATAAACGCAAGCACTCCTTTTCTGCCATACTTATCTCCCAACTGTCTGTTCTACATCCACCTATTCGCCCACCCACAAACTGAGCTAGTGTAGTCCTTTGGAGATGAAGGTAGTGCGTTGGTTAGACGTAAGCGTGAGGTGGGTGGTGGGATAGTGGAGGGTTTAGAGTGAACCAGCAACACGCTCTGCCACCGCACCTTCCCCAAGTACCGTGCAACAACGCATACGATCATGTTCTGCAGCCTTGGAATGGAATGGGATCTAACTCCTTTCGTGGGTCAGACGAACTCTCGTCACATGCGTCAGGTTGAATGGGCAAAGCATCGACAGACTGATGTTCAGTCATGCCTTTTCGTGCGCAAAAAATGTTAAATGCATCCTTAGTAAAGATAACCCTTCCGTGGGTAGACAGGACCGAAATATCTGGGTTGGAGCGGAAATCAAGTTTTAATCTATGATGGGTAGATTTGAGAGGTGACTGACAAATGGATCAAGGATGAGTGAGTTTGTCATAGAGGTGGTTTCCTGAAGAATTCTTTCCTCAAAAAATGCAAGGGTTAACTCGTTGAAATCTCCAAGTTCCACTTTTACTGCTGATCGACATCCAGAAGGTCTTTACATAATTAGCAATTATGGGGTTGTACAAAATGCCTAGTTTTTTTAGGCTCGACGACTACAAAGCATGCTTAATTGTAGCTATTCCCTCCAAACTTCAATTGCCGTTGTGATCGTCGTGGTAGCACTGCGCTCTGCCAATTAGTGTTGGAAAAGGAAGAGGTGCAATCGCACCAGGGCTTCAACCCACCCTATGTTGAAAGAAACTAGATTGCATGCGTAAACTTAGTCATCTTTGCTGCTTTTTGCTATTTCCTTTGTCTCCTTGTTGGTTGGCAACTCTTCTCCTCCTGTTCAGACGGCAGCATTGGAAGCTGGTCGAATAGGACCTATCCTCAACATGGATGAACGATTTCTTTCCCTATTGGCTTGTCGAGTGAGTTCCACTTCCTATCTTTCCACCTCTTTTTAATTTCCATTGCCCTTTTACATCTTTCCCTTGTGTATGACACTAAGCTGTTATTTGGTGGGGGCATCGTGGCACACCGCGTCATCTCTCAGCGCCGGCTAACTGGGACATGCCAGTGTGGGGTGGGGGGTGATTGACGTGCATGAGGACAGGGCGCTTGTACCCACGAAGAGGTCGCCGTGATACCGCGGTGTTGGCTAAACTACGAAATTAGAAGTAGAACCGCCATGAAACTGCAGTGGTGGTCGGA